CAAGTTGCTACTTGCTTTGGTTTGGAAGTAGTAATTTTTTAAGAACAGCGGATTATTGAGTGATTTTTGGGCCCCCATTGAGTTGGATGGTAATAATCAGGTTTTGGGGCGATTTCAGTGATATTTTCAGCACATTCAAATCCAATAGTCTTCTGTCGATCGTGAAAACTTCAAGTTGCTACTTGCTCTCAATTGGAAGTAGTAAGTTTTTAAGAATAATATCCTCTACAACATGAACTTAAAGAAGCAATATCAAGAGACAAAACCCTTTCTGAGATTTGTAAACCATGTAGTTCTCAAAAAATCTTAAAATTTTCTTCAAAAAATGCTAACAAACCCTATTTATTACAAAACAAAGTTCCTAATACGTGTGACTTTGTCAACACTCATTCCACCTCATCGTCTAAACAATAAATAATAGATTGCGAATATTGCAATGCCCCTGGAATCGTTCAAAGAAAGCAAATGATTTGACGCCCTTTGAACCGACATTGAACTCCAGAAGAATGGCACAAGGTTGGCAATTAATTGATCAGAAATACGCATTAAAAATTTGTGTTTTGATTGATAAAGTTCAGCGCCTTTCACCTGTACATCATGTTTGGTTCATTGCGCCGACATGCGAGTTAATCGACAAGGTGTACTTGAATAATTGATTTGTTTGCTCTATTTTTGGGGAATATCGACAAATTTGATGGGGGATTTGAATTAGAAGGTTGAATAAATAGATTTGGGCTGAAGGTAGAAACTTTTTTCGAGAATTTTTGCTTGAAAAATGCAGGAAGGCGACACTTTTGGGGAATGCCAGGACGAAAGCAATTGAGCTGAAAAATTCAACTTGAAGCGTCATAAATGCACGTGAATGTGCAGGTTAAGTCAAAATTGCAACTTTGAAGTCCAAAGCAATTTCAAACAATTGACTCCGATCAAAAAATGTTCACTTTAACAGTGAAACTTGAGCCTGCGACTTTAAGCTATCTGGACCCGCAAGCTCAACATTTTAAGTCTACAATCCGGATAAAATGTTTCAATTTGTTTTATTATATCCAAAATTCAATATTTGGACATTCAACTTCAAATTCCCACTTTTGAAAATTGCTTTCACCCGAAACATGGTTGAAAATAATACCTTCGACCCCATCGACCATCGCCTAAAATGTTTAATAAAATACTGTCTTTTTAATGGGAAGATTGAAAGAGAGAGAAAAAATGAAGTTAATAAAAAAAACGACCAAATCAGTATCAGGCCAAAAAGCAAAAATCACAGGAAAAAGGATGAACAAAGCATACACAAACGCAAATCGTCAACATCTTTGTAGAACCAAGGAAGGAAAAACTTATGAAGCGTCATTGCGAACGAAGAGGAACCGATTCGAATCTGCACTTTCCAGGCGCTCGGAATCTTTCCGACTTTCTAGCGCCCTTCAAGAGGCGACTTCAAGTTACTTACTTTTCGGCACTTTGCGGCCCTTCGATTACATTCAAAACATTCAGCTTCTATGAAACTGATGAGTTTTTTCAGCTTTTAGGCCACTATGGAGACGATTTTTTTTTGTCTTCTTCAGCCTCGATTAAAGATGCACTGAAGATGCTCACCGCTCGTGCTTGCAAAACGTTAGAAAGGCTTTCCCGCAAAACCCACCTCGATCGGACAAATGAGTTTTTTGGACTATCAACGAGTATCAGCTGCTGAAGAAAAATTGCTTTCACCCGAAAGATGGTTGAAAATAATACCTTCGACCAAATCGACCATCGACTAAAATGTTTAATAAAATACTGTCTTTTTATTGGGAAGATCGAAAGATGAGAGAAAAAATGAAGTTAATAAAAAAAACGACCAAATCAGTATCAAGCCAAAAAGCGAAAATCACAGGAGGAAAGATGAACAAAGCATACACAAACGCAAAATGCCAACACCTTTGCAGAACCAAGAAAAGGAAAAACTTGTGAAGCGTCATTGCGAACGAAGAGGAACCGATTCGAATACGCACTTTCCAGGCGCTCGGAATCTTTCCGACTTTCTAGCGCCCTTCGAGAAGCGACTTCAAGTTACTTACTTTTCGGCACTTTGCGGCCCTTCGATTAGATTCAAAACATTCAGCTTCTATGAAACTGATGAGTTTTTTCAGCTTTTAGGCCGCCATGGAGACGATTTTCTTTGTCTTCTTCAGCCTCGATTAAAGATGCGCTGAAGATGCTCGCCGCTCGTGCTTGCAAAACGTTAGAAAGGCTTTCCCGCAAAACCCACCTCGATCGGACAAATGAGTTTTTTGGACTATCAACGAGTATCAGCTGCTGAAGAAAAATTGCTTTCACCCGAAAGATGGTTGAAAATAATACCTTCGACCCCATCGACCATCGACTAAAATGTTTAATAAAATACTGTCTTTTTATTGGGAAGATCGAAAGAGAGAGAAAAAATGAAGTTAATAAAAAAACGACCAAATCAGTATCAGACCAAAGAGCAAAAATCACAGGAGGAAAGATGAACAAAACATACACAAACGCAAATCGCCAACATCTTTGTAGAACAAAGAAAAGGAAAAATTATGAAGCGTCATTGCGAACGAAGAGGAACCGATTCGAATACGCACTTTCCAGGCGATCGGAATCTTTCCGACTTTCTAGCGCCCTTCAAAAAGCGACTTCAAGTTACTTACTTTTCGGCACTTTGCGGCCCTTCGATTACATTCAAAACATTCAGCGTCTATGAAACTGATGAGTTTTTTCAGCTTTTATGCCGCCATGGAGACGATTTTCTTTGTCTTCTTCAGCCTCGAATAAAGATGCGCTGAAGATGCTCGCCGCTCGTGCTTGCAAAACGTTAGAAAGGCTTTCCCGCAAAACCTACCTCGATGGGACAAATGAGTTTTTTGGACTATCAACGAGTATCAGCTGCTGAAGAAAAATTGCTTTCACCCCAAAGATGGTTTGAAAATAATACCTTCGACTAAAATGTTTAATAAAATGCTGTCTTTTTATTGGGAAGATCGAAAGAGAGGGAAAAAATGAAGTTAATAAAAAAAACGACCAAATCAGTATCAGACCAAAGAGCAAAAATCACAGGAGGAAAGATGAACAAAACATACACAATCGCAAATCGCCAACACCTTTGCAGAACCAAGAAAAGGAAAAACTTATGAAGCGTCATTGCGAACGAAGAGGAACCGATTCGAATCTGCACTTTCCAGGCGCTCGGAATCTTTCCGACTTTCTAGCGCCCTTCGAGAGGCGAYTTCAAGTTACTTACTTTTCGGCACTTTGCGGCCCTTCGATTACATTCAAAACATTCAGCTTCTATGAAACTGATGAGTTTTTTTAGCTTTTAGGCCGCCATAGAGACGATTTTCTTTGTCTTCTTCAGTCTCGATTAAAGATGCGCTGAAGATGCTCGCCGCTCGTGCTTGCAAAACGTTCGAAAGGCTTTCCCGCAAAACCCACCTCGATCAGACAAATGAGTTTTTTGGACTATCAACGAGTATCGGCTGCTGAAGAAAAATTGCTTTCACCCGAAACATGGTTGAAAATGATACCTTCGACCAAATCGACCATCGACTAAAATGTTTAATAAAATACTGTCTTTTTATTGGGAAGATCGAAAGAGAGAGAAAAAATGAAGTTAATAAAAATAAACGACCAAATCAGTCAAATCAGAACCAAGGAAAGGAAAAACTTATGAAGCGTCATTGCGAACGAAGAGAAACCGATTCGAATCTGCACTCTCCAGGCGCTCGGAATCTTTCCGACTTTCTAGCGCCCTTCGAGAGGCGACTTCAAGTTACTTACTTTTCGGCACTTTGCGGCCCTTCGATTACATTCAAAATCGGCGTTTGTGTTTTGGTGGCTGCAGCTTGCACTTTCCGACCACGACAACATCCCAAGCACGACGCAAACCCGCAAAGATTCAAAATCGGCTTCAGAGCATTTTGCTTCCGCAAGCCCCACGGATTCTCCACTGTTGCACTAGCGCACATTTTCGGGGAGACGTTTCGAACTTCAGCGCATAACTGGAAAGTTGCTGCTGTTCTTCGAACAAAATTCAAACGAAGCTTGTGTAAATTAGGCGTCATTGATTGGTTCTGACCGGCGCGCTGACCTGCAGCGTCGTCGTCGCGATGCTAAAGACGGCCTATATTATAATGGTTAATGGCTTCAACGCTAGCAAGGATCAGAGGTGGACTTAGGCGATTTATTAACCGGTTGAGGTTTCATTGAAAAACTCAGACGGAAAAATCCGCATTTGGAAGTCCAGTCCTGCCAGAAAGTCGGCTAATGAAAATTAGTTCATTTACATATAAAAAAAGTGCCCTCTTGGAACCGGACTATCCATTGTTATACTCAGCCGCAGCGTTGCGTGCACGCAAATGCAATTTTTTATAGTGTCTTAGTGCCGATTGAATCCCCGATTAAATTTGAGTTTTGTGTGTTTTAGGTCATTTCGCCCGGCTATTTCTGTTAGTGACAGTTAAAGGAATGCCCGAAGAAACCGGCAGTTTTAGCAGGAAAGTGCTTACCGTTTGGCAATTAAAGGCCCATTGGATGTGATGCTTGATGAAGTGCTGTGTCGGATTTTCAGTTTGGATTCAGCGATGGGCAGTGGAATTCCCGATTTTAGGTCTCGGTACCAAAAGCCGCTCTTTGTCGATGAACCTGCAATAACAAAATCAGGAAATTTACCACACAATCTAATGTGATAGTCGTGGACGCCGGATAATTTTCAAAACAGTTCGGCTTTTGCGTCCTTTGCTTGAAGCTGGCGAGTTTTCGGCTTTTAGACCGAGGAAGAAATCAGCAGATTTACCGAATAAGAATCCGATTAATAAAGATAGTATTTTTTAAAGCATTTTACAGATGATACTTTGGAAAAGGTATTTTCGGGGAAAAATATGAAAGCGAAATAAAAAGTTTTGAAGGATTTTCGAATTGCTTGAGTGCATTAACCGATATTGCAAGATCTGGTTTTCATATCGAGATAGAGCGTTACATTTCTTTCTTTTTTATGCAAAACATCGTTCTAGAAATAGTTTTCACGCCAATTGCGAAAATTCAATATTAATGCGAGTCTTCTAAACCGCTCTTATTCGATGGCTCGTATTAAGAGTACCGGTTGTGCTATGAAATTTTAGTGTTCAGAGCAAGATAGTGCGTCAAATTGCGAACTTTCTAGTGCCAATCGTCCTTCTAGAAATGTTCCCAGTTATCGCGCAAATTCAAGATTAATGCGAGTTTTCTGAATCGCTCTTGTTCGATGGCTCGTATTAATAGTACCGGTTGTACTACGAAACTTTACTGTTCAGAGCAAGATAGTGCGTCAAATTATCAACTTTCTAGTGCCAAACGTCGTTCCAGAAATGTTTCCAGTTTTCGCACAAAATGAGTAAATTCATGATTAATGCGAGTCTTCTAAACCGCTCTTATTCGATGGCTCGTATTAATAGTACCGGTTGTGCTATGAAACTTTAGTGTTGAGAGCAAGATAGTGCGTCAAATTATCAACTTGCTAGTGCCAAACGTCGTTCTAGAATTGTCTCCAGTGTTCGCACAAAATGCGTAAATTCATGATTAGTGCGAGTCTTCTAAACCGCTCTTATTCGATGGCTCGTATTAATAATACCGGTTGTGCTATGAAACTTTAGTGTTCAGAGCAAGATAGTGCGCTAAATTTTGAACCTGTTAGTTCCAAACAGCGTTCTAGAAATGTTTCTAGATTTCGCGCAAAATGCGAAAATTTAAGGTTAATGCGAGATTTCTGAACCGCTCTCGAACCAGTTGTGCTACTAAAGTTTCGTGTTCAGAGCAAGATATTGCGCTAAATTGTGAACGTTTTACTGCCAAACACCGTTCTAGAAATATTTCTAGATTTCGCGCAAAATGCGAAAATTCTTATTTATTAATTAAAATTCAATATTAATGCGAGATTTCTGAACCGTCCTTATTCGATGGCTCGTATTAAAAGAACCAGTTCTGCTACGAAACTTTAGTGTTCAGAGCAAGATAGTGCGCTAAATTGTGAACCTTTTAGTGGCCAACACCGTTCTAGAAATGTTTCTAGATTTCGCGCAAAATGCGAAAATTCAAGATTAATGCCAGATTTCTGAACCGCTCTTATTCGATGGCTCGTATTAACAGAACCGGTTATGCTCGCAAACTTTAATGTTCAGAGCAAGATAGTGCGCTAAATTTTATTTAGTTTTATTGCCAAACATTGTTCTAGAAATGTTTCTAACTTTCAAGCAAAATTCAACAATTCAAGATTAATGCAAGATGTCTTCTGAACCGCTCTTATTCGATGGCTCGTATTAAGAGAACCGGAAAAGTTACGAAACTCTAGTTTTCCTAGCGAGATAGAGAGTTACATTGCGTAGTTTTTTATTTCAAACGTCGATCTAGAAATGTTTTTAGTTTTCGCGAAAAATGCGAAAATTCAAGATTAACGCCAGTTAAGTTCTGAATTTGCTCTTATTCGTTGGTTCGTATTAAGAGAACCGATGATTCAACAAAACTCTAGTTTTCAGTGCGAGATAAGAACGTTAAATTGCACATACGTATAGATAGATACGAAACATCGCTTTAGAAATGTTTCTGGTTTTCACGCCAAATGCGCAAATTGAAGATAAATGCGGGTGTTCAGAAACGCCCTTATTCATTAGCTTGTATTAATGGAACCAGTGGAGCTTCGAAACTTTAGTTTTCGTTGCGAGATAGAGCGTCAAATTGTGGACTTTTCGTACCAAATAACGTTATAAAAAATGTTCTAGTTTTAACGAGACGCAAAAATTCAAGAATAATGCGAATCTTCAGAACCGCATTTCTCGTTGGGTCCTATTAGGAGAACTGGTTGAGCTGAAAGGTTTAGTTTTTTTTTGCCAGATGGAGAGTTAAATTGCGTATTTCCTTGTAGCACGTCTTTTCCAAAATTTGCTATTTTTTAGGATCTTTAGGTCCTTCTTTCTTGATATTTCTCCAGGATTTTAATTTTTTCGTGTACAATTGTACCCGATCGCCTGTCTAATCAACTCAGCGCTCAACTCAATCGCGTGGACATAGAGAATTTTATATAAGCGCTCTGTATATTCACCTGTTGATGTGGAAGACGATCGACTGGAAAGCGACAAAGACTGAGGCTCATACTTGGACGGCAGCCGGTCATTAGAATAAAGCTGATCCGAGGAAAAACTCTTTCGAAAGCCTTGCTGAAGCCGACTGTCTGCAGGATACTGCAGTCGCGAATAAGCATCAGGAGCCGCTGGAAATCAAGCATTTTAACCAACAAACCACAGCGCTGCGGCTGCTATGCTTACAATAATGCTTATCAGTTCCATTGGTATTGCTATGCACTGGAATTATAGGAACAGGGTCGACCAATCCGGCAGGAAAATGGCCCTTGAAATGCTTCGGGGGCGAAAATGACCGCCCCCTATCGTACTTGCGATAGCCTCGACTGTGCTTGCCGTTTTCAGTAGCAGACTCCGGCTGCAGGATATATACAGGGCGAAGAACGCCAGCTTTTGATCCTGAAACAAATATCACTGCAGATTTACCAGAAACATACAGGGCAAGTCACCTAATAGTTTATTTACAATTTATACAAAACATATCATTTAACAATGAATGGTTCTCAAGCCACTGCCACATTAAAGGTCAAAATTATGAGTCCAGACCAAAAGCCATCGAAGCAAATCGCCTCAAAATATTATGCATGGGTGTAATCAGTATCATTTTCTTTTCCGGATTGGCTCGCATTATCTGAACCAACTGATCCAAAACGTCGCGATAATCATCCAGTTCAATGGCGGCTGGCACTTCGCATACAACCAAGTTTCTAAACTCCGGCAGTAGCATTTCGTCTCCCAGCGTTTGGATCAGTTGCGGCCAATCAACAAAGGTGCAATTATCTGGGCCCAAGTAGTGTTTCATCAGCGTCTTGTGCTTCTTTTTCAGTTTCACTGCGCTGAACTTTCGCATCGTTTGATAGACCAGAAGATTGGCTTCACCGGTCATCACTGTGATTATTAACAGCACGTTTCTTTGGGGATTTATCAAAAAGTCGTAGACTTTGCTGTTTATTTGCTCCTCTAGCTGTTCCATGCTGCGGATGAAAGTCCGGGATTTTTCGTCCAGTTGTTTGCTCACTTCCATTGAGGAAACTGGTTTATTTCAAAGAAAATACTGCACTAATTTGCCGATGGCTTTCAAGTGGATCGGATTAGAATAAGTAGGCAACTGATTGTCTCCTGCAGGCGAGATAACGACAAATATCCAGTGAATTTGATAAGAGCTGAGGAGTCACATCTATTTCGGTATTATGAGATAAAAATAACGAATTTTCCTATTTTTAGGCTTTGGTGCACTAGCGGTGGATTAACGGTGTTTTTCTTAGTTGCAAAGGCCTGTCTAATGTCTATGTACGAAACTATTGAAATTCCATATTTATTAAAAGAATTTGTGACACAGAAAGTCATGATCATTCAAATCGTCCCTCGTAGTATAACTGATCGGTTCGAATCGGATCGAGCGAACTAAAAACCCTTTCATTTAATGCATAGGAGTGAGCGCGGCATATCAGTTCCTTGTCTTGCTTACCCCATATACGAGAGCAGATTGAAAAATATATTTGTAATTTCTGGTTTAATTTTCAGATTCTCGGACACTAAATGAAATAGTTTTTTTTTGTAAAGGCAGTTTATGTTTATACAGCGAATTTTCTGTTTATACAGCGAAAATGTCTTGTTTATAGATTCCTCAATTAATCATAGAGTATCTTACCTAATCTCGGCGGTTTATTAATATACAAGCACAATTTTACCTCCATGATCAAGTGCACTAAAGTGTAATTTTTCAATCAATTCTGACCTGGTGCACTTGCTCTTTTACAGTGTGAAACTGATCATAAATTCTGCAAACCGGTAAAGGTATCAGATGCGGGCTCGTCACTATGCAGCAGCAATAATGCATTTTAATCTGGCTTTAATGCGTTTTTATGAAGAAAACTACAGCTATATTTTTCCCGATAAACTCAGTAACCTCATTAAGGCCTGGCAGGAATTCATATTTTAAAAGAAACAGACTTTATTAGCAGCAGGTGGTGGTAACAGTTAGCTCTCACGAAAGAACTGTCATACTTTCTTAAATTGTGCCTGAGGCAGATAAAATTTAATTATTTTTGGCTGGAAAAAGTTTCTAAATTCTAAATTGGTAAGTTAAACTGATCAAAAAAATCTCAGTGACTTGCAGAAAAGCCCACCATTTTGCTTACCATTTGCCGCCTTTAAAGTGTCGCAGTTGCTTGCGTCTGGAGTCCAAATTTTGCAGGAATCATCAAAAACATCTTCCTGAAATCAACATATTTTTCTTTATAAGATTTTTGGTTCTACCTAAAAACCCAAATAATCCGGCAGCAAAATGCATAAAAAAACAATAAATTGCCTTTTGAAAAAAACTGATGAAAACCTTTTGGTGAAAATGAAGGCTTTAAAAAATTAGATAAAAATGCATTCGTTGACATAAAAATACTCACCCCCAAGAAATCATGGACGGAAACAGGTTTCAGAGCAAACAGCCGACAAAGCAGCATATTTTTAATTTGAAAATCATCAGACTTTGAGGGAAAAACTTGCACTTTGAGGTGCAGAAAGAGTCTCACCTTCCACCTCAAAGGTAGAATGTTCCGGTAAATAACCGCTAATCGATATTTTGGTAGTTACGGTGCCGCGACTTTGACTATCGCATGTTCAACAGTTGCAGAAACGTCGATAATTATAATTATTTACTTGGCAGGAACAGGGGAGGATTTGGTGAAAATTTCCCATTTTTCACTCAACTCAAAAGCCTACTTTTTACCTCATTGGACTCGGAGAGTTGCCTAATCCGCATGGAACCGCTGTTGAAATTGTGTTCATGCCTCAAGTTGTGCATCCAATAGTTGGCCGATGTGTTGCTTGATGATGCCGACGAAATCGGAGAAGGAGAAACGTTGCCTTTTAGCACGCTTCCTGTTATCCAGTGGGATTCATTTTGATCGATGGGAGATGTATAGCGGATGGAACCGTCCAAGTCTACAGTGGGCAGCTGTTTTCTTGATAATCTAATCGGTTGAAAAAGTGAATTAATGAATGAAAAGATCATTTGTGCGGCACTTTGCCTCCTTCTGCTTCATATTTTTTTCAGTTTTTCATATACAAATTCAAGTGGGTGGATGAAGTAACGAACTGAAAAAGTGTATGAGGAAATAATTGCAGTAAAAACGAATTAAGACTACAATGAATGGGAATATGGGAATTTTCTTCAGAGTGAAAGAAGTCAGTAAGTTACATATAAAACAACGGAAACATTCAACAAGGAAACGGCAGCAAAATGAACAACCCAAATAGCAGATTTAAGCTTCTTCAAAGCATGTACATAAATAAAAAAAAACGTTTACTGGAGTTAGATGATTTAAACCTGTGAAGACAACCACTTTAACTGCAAAGGCACATCTTGTTACCTCGTGCGGACAACTTGAATAATTTCCCCAAAATCCCCAAAATCCTTGATGGCACTCTCCACCACATTGAGAGTTTCGTGAACAGATGAAAGCTGAGCTGCAGCTGCTAACGTTTCCAGTGCCGCTTGTCTCACCCGCCTTCTTCTGTCGCGCAGCGCCAAAGCTGCAAATTCTGCGATTCTCACCACTTCCACATCCTGCCTGGGATACAAGCGAGTACAAGCCATCAAAATCTGCAAAGCCCCTAAAACCAAGCAAACCCCTAGTAAAATTGATTGGGCCTTTAAAGGGCTTTCAGCCACCTTCTCGTGTTCGATGGCCGAAACCTCTGGAAAGCACTTCAAGCTGCAGCTTTTTGGGGGGCAGTTTCTTCATCGCCACCAACGCGCAACGCACTCCAGACGACGCGCCCATTTTGCACAAACTGAGGATCAGCCTTGGAAGGCAGCGTTCCAGGACTTCAGGCCGAAGGCCGGCAATTAAAATCATCAAAGAGTCCTGGAAAACATGTTTTAAATTTCGGGGTGGAGGGATGAACTTGGACTCACATCAGCAAGGCTGTGCAGCCTGTCGCGGTGATGGCAGGCAAAGAGGGCCTCAAATAGAAGAGCGGCCGCTCCTGCTTCTAAAGATTCGCATGTTCCCGGCTCTTTCAGCATCTTTACCACGCTGTCCAGTGCTTCGGATTTTGCCCATACTTCGTCCTAGAAAAACAATGTTAACATTGAAAAATAGCCAAGGAAAGTGGAAGTGAGTCAGAGTTCGGAACTGAAAGAGAAATTTGTCTGTGATTTATGCACTTTTTGTGTGTTATAAGCGCAAATTGTTGGATGAATGTCCAATTATTGTTTGCGTGTGTAATAATTAACGATTTCAATTACGCTTCGCTGTGGGGACGGAAAAAAACCAATAGAGGCAAATCGACATGGACATGTTTGCCTGTATGTAATATATTTAGTAATTCGGTCAATGAACTTACTGTTCATATATTTATTAGGATATTTCCCCTTTTGAAACAGTTTACCAGAAAATATGTTCGCGGTATGCGTGCACATGAGGAGCCAATTTTTTAATTAAAAAAAATTGATTTAAGACCCGGCTAGATAAAACTGAACCAACGAAGGAAAAACGAACAAATAAAGCAATATGAATTTGAAAAAATTTCGTTTGATTTAAAATGCCGAAAAGTGAATAAAAAAATAGAATGCAGTTCAACAGGTTCTCTGACTATGAGCCAACGACTAAAGGCGGTTTTGAAGTCTCGCAAAATTTGTGAGTTTTCACATTTTACGTGAAAACTACAAGGATTTCTAAAATGATGTTTTATATAAAAATGTGCGCATTTTCAGGTTCTATCTCGCGATTTCAACTACAGCTTTACTGCCCAACCTGTGCTCCAAATATGAACCAATTACTAAGGGCGGTTTTGAAATTCGGCATCACTTTTGAGTTTTCGCAGTTTGCGTAAAAACTACAAGTATTTTTAAAATCATTTCTTTTAAAAATGTGCGTGTTTTAAGGCTTTATCCCTAAATGACAACTAGAGATTTACCGCTCAACCAGTTCTTTAAGCATGAACCAATTACTAAAGGCGGTTTTGAAATTCGGCATTACTTTTCAGTTTTCGCAGTTTGCGTAAAAACTACAAGTATTTTTAAAATTATTTCGTTTAAAAATGTGCGTGTTTTAAGGCTCTATCCCTAAATGACAACTAGAGATTTACCGCTCAACCAGTTCTTTAAATATGAACCAATTACTAAAGGCGGTTTTGAAATCCGGCATTACTTTTGAGTTTTCGCAGCTTGCTTAAAAACTACAAGTATTTTTAAAATTATTTCGTTTAAAAATGTGCGTGTTTTAAGGCTCTATCCCTAAATGACAACTAGAAATTTACCTCTCAACCAGTTCTTTAAATATGAACCAATTACTAAAGGCGGTTTTGAAATCCGGCATTTTTTTTGAGTTTTCGCAGTTTGCGTAAAAACTACAAGTATTTTTAAAATGATTTCATTTAAAAATGTGCGCATTTTAAGGCTCTATCCCTAAATGACAACTAGAGATTTACCGCTCAACCAGTTCTTTAAATATGAACCAATTACTAAAGGCGGTTTTGAAATCCGGCATTACTTTTGAGTTTTCGCAG